ATAAATAAAACAAGTTTTAATGGCTTATTTGGATTCTGACCCATCGGAACATATCTGCTATGTATCTGAATATACCCTGTTGGCTTACACAGAAGATATGTGGAAGAAGTAAACCAATTATGTAAAGAAGTGAAGGTATTTCAAATAGCAACAAGTTAAGCATAGACAGAAGTGACTGAGATAATCACATTAGATTAATACACACACAGACACACACATTTATACATACACTAACATGGTCTTCATACTCCTATGCTAATCTTGACCATGTCTACAAATGTGATCAAGTGTAACTAAACTTCTGCTTGCTTTTCTTTTGTTTGGTCAACATATAAAGTACTTGCTTTAAGTTAACATATTATGTGGGTTTTATTATAGGGTAAGTAGATTCTTCAACTGGGATATATAGTCAGTATGTCTATCAGAGATTCTCTACGAATCACCACATTCAAATATGTACTTTTCTAAAATACTGAACATAACCTTTATGTTGAACAATATTTTAATTCAGGGAATGGAATTATAAAGTACTTTTATTCTATTTACATTTACTCATTGAGGCTAGATTTTTTTTTCTATTCTTAGATACAAATTCCACTAATTCTTGTGACTGTTATGTGACCTGAGTTCTTCTAGTGAGTAATTAAAATGTTCAGTGTCATTTAATAGTCATAACTTTGAACTTTTCCCCACTTTTGATCATCTTTAAGTTGGGAACCCTGAAGTCAAAGTAAGGAGAGTAGTCAGCTCCTTTGCGTTGTGTGTCTATACCTTCAGGGCTGAAACAGAGCAAGTAAGACTAGGTAAAGTGGGAGCAAATGGTTCTCACTTGATAGATACTCTTATGAACTGGCATGGCACTTCCTGAATCTAGCTTGACTTGTTAGGTGAATTTTCCTTTTGTGCTGTTTTGTGGGTTCTTTGGAGATCCATTCATCCCACAAGTGGGGACTTCTCACCTTCCTTTGATGTGAGTAATACATTCTCCTCCAGCTCCAATGCTTACTTCTTCCACAGACCCGTATCTCTAGCTCTCTCTTTGGTAAGTTCTTTTCAGCCATCAAGGAAGCTTTATTGGAGAAGATCTGTAAGACTCCCTCCAACCCCCACTCCATTTGGGCTACTGTAACAAAATATTACAGACTGGTTGGCTTATAAACATTTCTCATCGTTCCGGAGAATGGGAAGTCTATCACAGCACTGGCAGATTCATTGTGCTGGCTGATAAGAGCCCTCTTCCTGGTTCATAAAGAATGTCTTCTCACTATGTCCTCACATGATAAAAGGACTAGCAAGCTCTGTGGGGCCTCCTTTTGTAAGACTGCCAGTCCTATTTGTGAGAAATACACCTTCGTGACCTAACCACCTCCCAGAGGCCCCATCTCCTAATACGATCATATTGATCATCGGGATTGCAATATATAAATGGGAGGGAGGCATGACACAATCCTAATAATCCTCTCTCTCTCTCTTTCATTCATATTCATATCCTCTCTGTCTGGATATAGTCCATAGAAGCAAAGTTTGTCATAGGCCACCCAAAACCTCTTCTTTTGTACTTTTATCTGCAACTAAACCAATCCATCTCTTATAACTTAGATTTCTCAAGTGGAAATCAGGCAGTCTCTGTGAGGCAGCTATCAAGTTCTTCCAAGTAGTTCTATTAAACCCTTTTTTCATTGGACTTGAGGCTTCATCCTTGGGAAGAAATTGGGACTTAAAACCACCACTAGCAGCAATCTCAAAAAAAAATCCTTTTTATCGGTTCTTTTATTTCTTTAAAACTGGGTGATCACCTCAGAGTTTTATGCTATTCTCCCCTTCAAGTTCTGCATGCTGTCCTAGTTAGATACGCACTATCAATTGTCTTTAAGCCTCAGCTGGAACTGAGATATCAACACTGTACTTTAACATTTTTACAGTATCTGGTTTTGATACGAGTTGTCACTTTTTTTTTCTTTAAATCAGAAGATAGCAGATCCTCTGAGTAACTTTAATATTACAAAATATAAAATATTTTATAATGTAAGTAGGTATTATATTAATATTTTGAATATAATCATTATATGAAAAATAAAAATGGTAAGTCAAATGACTTTCAAAATACATAGTATAATTGACCGGTTATATATAGATCACTTACTTACTTACCAGTTATATGTAGATCACTCACTTACTTAGGCACTCATTTCCTTAGAAAAATACTTATTCAATATTTACTAGACAATAGGAGTCTAATGTTGGACAAAGCAAATTTAGTCCATTCCCTCATGGAGTCTGCATTCTAATCTATTATAAGAAGAATATATTTTCTTTGCACAACCTTTGGATGTTTGGCAAGAACTGTCCTAATCTTAGAGTATATGAAAGGATGGAGAACCAGTAGAGAAGAGAGAAAGTAACTAATGAACAAAACAGTGAGCCAATAAGAGCCCAAAAGTAAGCATAAATTGATGAAAAGTAGCAGTAGGTATCTGTGATATAGAGTTAATGTTAAGATGACTTAGTAAACATAGAAACTCATAGTAGGGCATTTGGTTACCATGACTCTTAGGGAAAAGGTTGTCTTTGGATGAGATGTTATTTGGAAAAAGTTACTGTAAACATATTTGTATGAAAATATTTATTGAAGAAAAATCTCTTATCTCAATAAAGAAAAAAATGTGGCTACTTGATGTAGTACAATTGGGAATATGTGTTCAACCACTGGATGCTGCCTGGCAATATAATTGTTAGTGATTATATTTTTGTAGCTAGCTTTGAAATATATATTTTATGGATTTGCAAGTTTAAGAGGAGAATATATGCTTTACTGTCACACAACTCCTGTTCTGAGGAAAATAATGAATACTTTTATTTAATTATACATTTACAATTTTAGAACCAGCTGCCTATTTGCAAAAAGGACATTAAGTCAGCTTTTAAAGATATCTACGATGCTGAAAAAAATAATAATTATAATAAGTAAGGCAAAGAAAGCCAGAGAAAGGAAATAAATATGTAGGCTAGTCAGTACACAAAAAATGCATGCCATAAAATTCCTTATGATTTCAATACAAATAGGACTCTGAACTTACTATAAAGGCCAAAGGAAAGAGGGAAGGAGCTAGGTTATGAGATTCATTGTGTCCATAAGTTAAAAACTAAGCAGTTGATCAGGAAAACATATTAATTACTAGTGTTAACAAAAAATTTAACCCATGGATTCTTTTCCAGAGGACACTTTTGCAAAAGAGTGTCCTCAATGAAGATACAGTTGACACAGTTTCATAGAGTTCTGTTTTCCTTCTTCCTCCCAATCTCTGCTTTAGGTGGTTGGTTTTTTTGTTTGTTTGTTTGTTTGTTTGTTTGTTTGTTTGTTTTTAAATAACAGCCCTGTGTCAGTTAGATCTATCTTTGACAGACCCCTTGCATTCTCCCTCCTCCAGGGAGCTGAACCCTTCAGAATGACTTCTCAGGCTCGGGGTCCGCAGTATCCCTGCTGGGTTCAGTCAATGGGACAACTAGTAGGATACTGAAAAACAGGAGAAAGGGAGACGCTGCCATACTTCTTACTTTCTCTCTGCCTTCAGTAGCTGAGGCTACATCTCCACCCCCCTGCACGTGTATATATAGAAAGTTCCAGCTTCCACCAAGTTATCCCAGGTCCCTCTGTCCCTGCAGCTTAAGTTTAGTAATGGCTTCTTTTCTTTGGGCTGCCCCACTGTCCCAGCTGCCTTCTCAGATTTTATCACTGATGGAGTAATTTCTCTACTTTCAATGCCCTCTGCTTTAAATATTCAGAGAGTTATCTGTTGTCTGTTTGATCCTGACTGATAGAATCACCCACTATAAGTTAATGACATATCTTTCAGGTCAATTCTACGTAAACAATTTTACACTGAGCGATACCATGGAAAGTCTGCATATTACATGCTTAGGCAACAATGAACAGCAGGTGCAGAAGGGTATAGGAAACAAACTGCCATTAGGCATTAAGATACGATTTTTAGGGAGAGAATAATAATTCACCAGTACCAAAACACAAGACATTTCAGCACATAGATGCCATGATGCACCTTCAGTGGGTATGCTCCCGAGGAGCTCCCTAGAAATGCACAGATGCCAACATCTTGTCTGTAATGAGTCAATGTAACCCAGAAAGAATATCCTGGGGAAGTAGCACCCTCTCTCTCATCTACCTATAAACAACATATAGGATTCATTTAGGACTGTCTTTTCTTGGCAAACAGGGAAGATATATGGAAAAGCTAACATTCCAGGTCTTCATTTCACAAAAAATGTAAACTAGCAAACCCTTTACAAGTCGACATATATGCTAATAATATAGCAACCGTTTCAAGATACCCATTAATTATAAGACAACGGTGAAACTTTTCCCAAGAACTCAGATTAATGCTCAGATAAAGAATATTTTCTTATCATTTAACTTAAAAATCAACACATTCTGGCTAGAAAGTTCATGTGCAAACTTACCTTAAAGAGACAGATGAACTTTTAGAATTGCCTTATATATGGAACCCAATGGTTTTCAATAAAAATGTGCTAAGAAATCCGGGAATGCAAGAAACCAAATACTATCGGTGCTTGTCTTAGCTCTTAACCATAAGAGATAGTTACCTCAGCCCATAAAAAGAGGTTTATTTCATTCTGGAGTCATTAAAAATTTCAATCATATGGCTAATACCCTAGTGTTTATTACACATATATCCAATTGTGTCTGCACCCTAATTTGGCCTACCTGGGCTGTCCAAGAGGGAGAATATGCAATGACTGGAGTCTTTCAGTCTCCACAGTAGTTATGATTCTTATTATCAATTAATACAACAGCATCATAAATTTGAAACGTGCATCCTCTCTGTGAAGGGTGTGCTGGCAAGTTTTGCTGCTTGGCTTGCAGGACTTACCTTAAACCATGGCAAAACCACCAATTCAAACTCCCTGTGAGACATGTTTCTCAGGAAATGCATCCCACCAGCATCAATTTCTTCTCCACCTACCTGAAAGACTTCTTAATATCTTCTGCTTGGATTGTCTTGAGAATCTCTTGGTATAAGTGAAGATCAAGCGTTCCTGAAGTTGTAGCATTTGAAGGGCAATTTTTATGTGCATAATAGCCTATCAAAATCCCCAAAATAAATAAAATGGTGGCTGTGCAAAGTATTTTTAAAAGGCGGCAAAAATTGCAGGGGTTGCTCTTTGGTGCAGATCTTGTATAACGGGTTACATAGTCAGACTCTTCTTGAAGTCTCTGAAACCTTCCTTTGGGTGAAGTTGCTGGTTGAATGGAATCAAGATTGAGGTCTGCAGTCTCTGGATTCTCCAGGTTCTGATTCTCAGCACTATCTAGCTGGAACTGGTCAAAACCAGGCTCCTCCAGCTCCTTTTCCATGTCCCACTCTAAGTCAAGGGCAGTGGCTTGAAGGTCATCATTGTCTAAATACTGTGAATGTCCTGGAGCTCTTTGATCTGCATTGACCTTCTGATAAGCCATCTTTTTACCTGTGAAAATAAGAGAAGTATATTTTCTTAAAATAAACTGTGAAACTGAATATGGAAAACCTCATTTAAAATGGAGGTGGGGGGACCAGCAGATTACAGATCCCAACAGGAAGAGGCACACCTTGCATTCCCAATTGGAAGAAGCCTATTTTACTACCCTACAAGGAAAGGAAAAGTTTCTCCCTGCTCAGCAACAAGCTCAGCAAATAACAAAATCCAATTCAGCTAATGAGAAACCATTAACACCCTGCACACTCACTTTCTTTCAATGGACTTTTCCTTCAAAGCAGCCCCTCCAAATTTCCTCCTTTTCTCAATAAAGTAACAGTCCTCTCCTTTGATCTCCAGGCTTGCCTATGGTTTGCCATAGTTTGCAGGTCCTGAATTGCAATTTCTCTGCTATTCCAGAATAAAGCCATTTTGCTGGTAAAATAACTGGCTGTTTACTTTTAAGGTTGACAAAACAAACAATAAAGAAAATCTCCAAGGTAAAAAGAAAAGACAACAGCAATCATATTAGGTTGCTAAATAAAATTTTACTGATAAAATTTTAGTGAATATAATCATGGGAAATATACTGCCCCTATAGAAAAATCACATATCAGTTAATTATGTAATCTTCTGTTTTTCTGTTGATGTTTATTATAGGAAGAGGAGACAAATGAAACTTTGAGAAAACATAAAATAGACACACACACACACAATTATTCCTTTGAAGTTCAGGAGAATAAAAAGATCACAAATGTACAAGTGCATTGAGGATAAAATATTATCATGGAGGAAAAATTTAAGCTTACACATTGTCAAAATCACTTTTAAGAAAAACTAAGGGCAGAAGCAATAAAGCTGTGGTTTAGTAGTAAGTTAAGGAAGGAAGGAAGGAAGGAAGGAAGGAAGGAAGGAAGGAAGGAAG